AAGAATTATACAGCCCGACTCAAACTCAAAACTATAAACAAAATGAAATAACTAATAAACTAGACAATTTGGAAAGATCAATTAAAGAAAATCAAAACCCTTTAGATTTCCCCATAACAATGAAGGAATTGGAAGATAAATTAGGAGCCCTTGAGCCCAAGAAAGCCTGTGGTGTCGACAGCATCCTGAACGAGATGCTGAAACACACGGACCAAAGCTTCAAACTGGCCATGCTGAAACTGTTCAATGATGTTCTGTGTGTAGGGTTCTTCCCTGAGATCTGGAACAAGGGCCTCATCAGCCCCATCCACAAGAACGGAGACAAATCAGACCCCAACAACTACCGAGGCATCTGTGTGAACAGTAACCTGGGGAAGGTTCTCTGCAGCGTCTTAAACACCAGACTTTTAGACTTCCTTATGAAGCACAATGCCTTGAGTAAATGCCAAATCGGCTTTCTTCCAAAATGTCGCACATCCGATCACATTTTTACATTACAAACACTAATTGACAAATATGTACATCAAAACAAAGGACAAATTTTTGCTTGTTTCATTGATTTCAAGAAAGCCTTTGATTCAATCTGGCACAAAGGATTATACCTCAAACTGATCGACAGTGGAATAGGGGGGAAATTTTATGATTTGATCAAATCTATGTACACAGCCAGCCAATGCGCTGTTAAAATTGGAAACCAAAGAACCGAATTCTTCCCCCAGGGGCGCGGAGTGAGACAGGGCTGCAGTTTAAGCCCCACCCTCTTCAACATTTACATCAACCAATTGGCCAATATATTAGAGCATGCCCCCTTTCAAGGTCTCACTCTACACGACACAGAGATCAAGTGTCTTCTCTACGCAGATGACCTGGTCCTCCTGTCGCCCACTAAAGAGGGGCTTCAGGACAGCCTGGATCTGCTGGAGGATTACTGTCAGTCCTGGGCCCTGACCGTCAACCTCCAGAAAACTAGAGTCATGATGTTCCAGAAACGCTCCAGATCTCAGGGACCAACACACACATTCACACTATCACACAGACCCATCGAGAGCACAAAAACATACACTTACCTCGGCCTGAAAATAACTCCAACTGGCAACTTTACTTTGGCTGTGAATGAACTCAAAGAGAAAGCTCAAAGGGCTTTCTATGCCATAAAAAGATCAATCAAAATTGACATCCCAATCCAAATTTGGCTCAAACTTTTCAAATCCATAATTGAACCAATTGTTTTATATGGCAGTGAAGTGTGGGGTCCTTCTATCAAATTTGATCTCTTAAACTGGGAAAAACATCCAATTGAAACTCTACATTTAGATTTTTGTAAACGAATACTCAAAGTCCAAAGAAAGACACCAAACAACGGATGCAGGGCAGAATTAGGCCAATACCCTCTCCTTCTAAACATCCAAAAAAGAGCCATCAAATTCTGGAAACACCTAAAGACAAGCGACCCCAACACATACCATTACCAAGCCCTAAAACACCAAGAGCTGAGCGTAGCGAGGAGTCCCCTGTGCCAGCTGGTGCTGAGACTGACTGGGCTCTCTCCTGCAGAGATCAGCTCGCCTCAGCACACACACACACTCACACACATTCGGCCCGCACAAATTATCAACACAGAACAAGACAAGTACATCACCCATTGGACAAACACCATTAAAAACCAACACAAACTGGAATGTTATTCGGCACTAAATCGAGAGTACACCGTTGCGAACTACCTGAGCACAGTGAGTGATGTGAGACTCAGGAAAACCCTGACGATGTACAGACTCAGCGAGCACAGCCTGGCCATCGAGACGGGCCGGCGCAGACAGACCTGGCTCTCCCGTGAGGACAGACTCTGCCCGCACTGCACCCTGGGAGTGACGGAGACCGAGCTGCACTTCCTCACAGAATGCCCAAAATATAAACACATCAGAGACCATTATTACCCCAAAATTAATAATATATTTCCCCAATTTAACACCTGTAATCCGACCCAAAAACTTTGTTTCATTCTTGGCGAAGAAGCCAAATGCTCAAATATAGCTGCAAAATTTGTAGCATCCTGCCACATCCTGAGGGACGACCAGAAACCAGCAAACATACACTAAACACGCACTCACTCACAGCCTAAGACCTACACACATGTATATAATGTTCAATATTTTTCTTTTTATGTATATATATATATATATATATATATATATAGATGATTTCTAAATCCATTTTATTTTATTTATTAATCTGTTCATTTTATTATTATTGTTTTATGATATCAGTTTTAATATTTTGTGTACTAAATGTTCCAAATCATTTTCTATGTTGTTTTGACGCTTTGGCAATACAAAATGTATTTTTTGTCATGCCAATAAAGCTTTCTGAATTGAATTGAATTGAATTGATTAAAAAAAAAAAAAAAAATTACATACATTTTACTTTTATTTTAAAATTGCCTATATGTTAATGTTAATAATGAAGCAGTCTTCCAATTTGGAAGACTGCTTCATTATTACTTAAAAATAACTTACACTGTAAAAAATATTTTCAAGATTTGTTATCACAACATATTTTCTTTTGTCAAATCAACTTTATAATAATTTATTTAGTTGAGATAACTTATTATTTTGAGTTTCTGATGGCTAAATTAATCTACTTCATTGTATTAACTCACTTTTTCCACTTCAATCAACTTAAAATTTTAAGGCAACCAGGTTACTTACTTTTTTAAGTTAAACCAACAATATTTTTTTACAGTGATATGTGTGTGTGTATCAGTATATATAGTGTGTATATATATACACACACACAATTTATAGCATATGTACTTATCTTTGCTTGTCAAATAAGCATATCTCACTCATCAATACATTTTTGTATTTGTTCATATCATTCAGCCACCTCATTCAGACCAGTGTGAAGAGAGAGGATGAGAAGAAAAGACAGAAAACCAGAGAAGGTGTTCTTTGTGGCCTTAGTGAATGTCTCATTCATGTGTGTAGCAGAGGTCACGACCCCTGAGCTCCTCACTTCAATCAGACACATGATTCGAGAAATCATCGAAACACTGCAGTTTGAGATCAAACTCTGAGCTGAGGTTTTATATTTAGTGTTATGACTAACCCCAAGCATGAGCAATAACAGTGATGCTGCCTTGGAAGGTGTCATTAAAATAAACATGGAAGAATTGACTCTCCTTTTGACATTTAAAAAGGATTTTGGTACAATAAAAGCGCAATATAAATAAAATGTATTATTATTATTATATTGGAGAAATGGACAGAGTAGCTAAACAATAATCAATATCTGTGAATCTGTATACCTCAAAAACAGTATTTATTCCCCTTGTTCGGTTTAGTTTCCATTTTTTCTATCCGTAAAACATTTTCTTGAAAATTGAATGCTAAAAATTTACTCAAAATTCAAAAATAAATAACTAAACTTATAGTAAAAGTATAGTATACAAGTAAAAAGTTAAACAAAAAAAATGCCATTAATGTACAGTTCTCCATACAAGTTTTGTTATACATTTTCTGCTTGAGTGAGAATTAGAATAGTTACAAATAAGAGTTGAAATAATGAATTAAGAATGAAAGATGGCAAAGTGTTGACATTTAATTTTTTTTTAAACTTGTATAAAAGCACAGTTTTAACAGTGTTACAAAAACAGAAATCATTAAAAGTGCAAATCAAAAAAACAAAACAATAAACATAAAAACAAGCACATGATACAGTAAACGCAAAGTTGCCCACTATCCCAGAGCATGAAATAAATACGTTCCCCTTTAAAGGAGTAGTTCACTTTTTAAAAAAAACTTTTGCTGATAATTTACTCACCCCCATATCATCCAAGATGTCCATGTCTTTCTTCAGTCGAAAAGAAATTTGATGAAAACATTCCAGGATTTTTCTCCATACAATGCACTTTAATGGGAACCAAACGGTTCAAGCTTCAAGATTCAAACTACAAACTGTTCAAAGGGCTTTAAACGATTCCAGACGATGAATAAGGGTCTTATCAAGTGAAACGATCGCTCATTTAAAAAATAAATAATGTTAGGTTTTATAAACTCAAACGTTCGCCTTGCTCTGTTCTGTGTGACTCTACTGTTCAAACTCGTTCATCAAAATGAACAAATCTTTTTTCGAGTCATTTGGTTCATTCAACGAACGAAATGAAGGAATTGACAATTTTTAATTGGAAAAAGATTTGTTCATTTTGATAAACGAGTTCGAACAGGAGAGTCACGAACGCGCATCACAGAACAGAGCAAGGCATGCATTTGTGCTTGTAAAACTTAAACTTTGTTATTTTTCTTTTTAAATGAGCGATCGTTTCGCTTGATAAGACCCTTATTCATCATCTGGAATCGCTTAAAGCCCTTTGAACAGTTTGCAGTTTGCACTGAAACTGTCTTTTGGACCTTGAACCGTTTGGTTCCCATTGAAGTCCATTATATGGAGAAAAATCCTGGAATGTTTTCATCAAAAACCTTAATTTCTTTTCGACTGATGAAAGAAAGACATGGACATCTTGGATGACATGGGGGTGAGTAAATTATCAGCAAAAGTTTTTTTAAAAGTGAACTACTCCTTTAATTCACTTTTCCAAATGCATATGATGTTCCTTCTTCTGTGAAACAAAAGGCGCAGTCTGAAAATGACACAAAAAAGCACCGACCATTTTCTGCTATAAACCCGTTATGTGTTCCCTTCAAAAAGTTCATAATTACCCCTTTTCCACTGGTTCGGAACTGGTGCTGGTTCAAGGTTGGTTCAACTCTTCTCAGTTTGTTTTTCCACTGACTAGAGAACCCAGCGAATGACGTAGTTACGTCACTGTGTACACTCTTAAAAGAAAAGGTTCTATATAGAACCTTAAAATGTTCTATCAGCGCTACGTATTTGGAACCCCTAAAAGGTTCTATACACTCTTAAAAAGGGTTCCTCTGGGTTCTATATAGAACCCTGGGGTTCCGTACTTGGCCAATAGAACCTTTTACCAAAAAAAATGGAACCATTTTGGAGTTCCATATATGAAGCGGGGGATGGAACCATTTCTGGTTCTAAATAGAACCATTTCTTCTAAGAATGTACGTTGCCATATTTGGCGAAAGTCTTGGCTTTCCCTGAAACGCTTGCGACAAATTTAAGCATAGCTATTACAATAGCGGACGACATCGTCTTTCTGCAAATGTTTCTCCTGGCTTTGCGATCCTATATTGGGGTCAGACTATCTTTCTACTAGCACTGTTTTTAGCAATGGTGGTCACAACCTTTCCCGTCGTGTTGTTGGTCACCCCACCCCCAGCCCCCAACGTAAGGGTGACGTGGTAAAAAAAACGGTTCTCTACAGTTCTAGTCCAGCAAAGAGTTGGTGCCGCTTTGGAACCAACTTTCCTGTCCGAGAACTGGTTCTTTGGCTGTCGAAATGAGGCTCTCAAAATGCTTCGGTGGAAAAGGGGCGAATAAGATCGTAAAACTAATCCATATGAATTGAGCGGTTTCAGCGACTCGATCGCTTTGATTGAATTTAGGCTTTTAGACATCATCAGCTGAACGGATAAACTGATGGTGAATGTGATTTCACCAACACAACATCTTTGTCAATGTCAAGTTTAGGCTTACAACCAGGGTTAGGTGCTTCTACATCAGTGTTATTCGCCATCATTTCCCTCTATTATGGGTTGGATTAGGTTTAGGGATATGGTTTGCACTACATTTTCAGACAGGAATGTTGTTCCAGGAACATGTTTTACTTGGCAAAATCACGGTGACCGTAAATGCATCTACACACTAGTCGCTTTCAATGCCTCACTGTTTACAATCATGCTCTTGCAAACTATTCTCACTCGAACCTTCCAACTTGTAGATTTTAAATAAACGCCACCACAGTTTACAACAAATCTTTAAGTTATTCGCACTTGGTGTAGTTTGGTTAGCTTCTGCTTCAGGTGATTGAATTTAGGCTTCAAAATTCATAAAATTGGTGTTCATTTTGATGGTGTTCAGAGCTTATAATCCTGAAGCCAATAGAACAATACTGGCTTTTTGACGAAGAAGGGAACCAAAGTGATGCGAACTTCTGCGTTGACCTACAAAAATACATCATAACAGCAACACAACATTAGATAAATGAATGTGCATTTACTCTCAAGTATGTTCTCATTCCAATTGTCTTGGTCCACTGTAAAAAATATTGTTTTTTAACTAAAAAAGGAAGTGTTCGTGCTTCCTTTAAAATTTGAAGTTTAGTCAACTCAAATATCTAAGTTGTCACTTAGTACAACTTCACTTTTCAAGTTGACTAAACTTACAATTTTAAAGCAGCACGAACACTTACTTTTTTAAGTTGAAACAACCTTTTTTTATATATATAGTGCATTTTATAAATGTATGTGAAGTGAGAAGGTTAAAAGAGAGAAAAGCAAAAGAAAAGATGAAGAAACAACACATAAAGAGTTTCAAACAGCAGCTCTCACACTTCACTTCAAACCTCATCAGAACTGCTTTTACTTTGAGTATGTGATATTTATATTGTTGTAAATATGCGTTCTTTACATTTTTTTGCACATACTTCAACAGTCTTTTTATATTTTGAGAGTCTGAGCGTGTTTCTTGCAAAGCGGTTTGTTCTTTTTGGAGAAGAAGGTCTGTCCCTCCAGACTGACGCTGCAAACCTAAAAAAAGAATAACAGACACTCATCATCACACAACACTCAACGAATACCCTAACACTCTCAGACAAACCTGAACACACACGTACTGAGCACACGAAGCAGGTGTCGTGCCAGGTGCCGCCCAGGGCCTCTAGAAACTTGTCTCCTGCTTCTATTGGGAAATCACAGCCACGGCAACCCGTCCCAAACAGACTGTAGTAATCTGAAGACACAATTACAAAACACTTTCAACGACTTTATCTAAAGTGCTCAGAGACACTTATGTTGAATCTGCATTTAACCAAAAACCCATTGGGTTCAAGATGGCTACAAAATGTCTATTTTCAAATTTTATGTTGCAACTTTAAAACATCTTACAGACTCTTTTGATCAGTAAAGTAGCTCAGATCATTTGGTCTCGGCAGAAATGTTCCCACTTAAACCTCTGCTGCAGACTATGAGATCTTTGGAAATGTGAGGACAATTCAAGACTTTGTTATTATTCTTTTGAAAGCACAAGTCTTTTTTAGGAGGAACATCTGAGAAGCTGGAGACTGTCTAAGAGAAATAATTGCGATATTGAAAACACATAATTGTGTGTGATCTTCTTATTTTGCTATTATTTTGTAGCTGAAATTTTCTATATTGAGGGAAGCTGCCAACATTCCCCATGAAAAAATAAATTAAATATTGTCTTAAAGGAGTAGTTCACTTTTTAAAAACATCTTGTCATCCAAGATGTCCATGTCTTTATTTCTTCAATCGAAACGAAATTAAGGTTTTTGATGAAAACATTCCAGGATTTTTCTTCATATAATGGACTTCAATGGGGTCCAAACGGTTCAAGGTCCAAATGAGAGTTTCAGTGCAGCTTCAAAGGGCTTTAAACGACACCAGACGATGAATAAGGGTCTTATCAAGCGAAACGATCGCTCATTTAAAAAATAAATAAAAAAGTTGAAGTTTTATAAGCACAAATGCTCACCTTGCTCTGTTCTGTGATGACTCTCCTGACTCTCCTGTTCGAACTCGTTCATCAAAATGAACGAATCTTTTTTCGAGTCATTTGGTTCATTCAAACAGGAAAGTCATGAAAGCCCTTTGAAGCTTCACTGAAACTCTCATTTGGAACTTGAACCATTTGGTCCCCAGTAAAGTGCATTATATGGAGAAAATCCTGGAATGTTTTCATTAAAAACCTTAATTTCTTTTCTTTCGAAGAAAGAAAGACATTGACATCTTGGATGACATGGGGGTGAGTAAATTATCAGAAAAAGTTTTTTTTTAAAAGAGAACCACTCCTTTAATGTAAATGTATTAACCACATAATGTACTAAATTAAAGCTCTATATTACTGCCATATAGACATTACTTTGATACACTCATCTCTTACTTAAGATTGAAACAAGCTAATTTGAAACAAATGTTGCAGCTTTGAACCATATTTACTGTAAAAAGCGCTATACAAATAAACTTGACTTGAATTGAATTTAATGCAGAAAGGTTTGTGTGGGAGTTAGTTGGTCTAAAATACCATTAGCTCAGTATGAAAAGGCAATAGAAGTCTATAGAAAGACAAACAAACACCTCTCTCGCAGTATGGCTCTCCATCCTCGAGGTGAAAAGTATCGTTTCTTATCGGTTGCTGACAGGATGCACAGAGGAAGCAATACACGTGCCAGGTCTGCTTGAGTGCATTGATCACTTCCTGTTAAAACACATCATCATTATGGTTACACAAGACACATATACTACCATTCAAACGTTTTGGGTCGGTACGATTACTTTATGTTATTGAAAATAGTGTCTTATGCATTTAATTTAAAAATATAGATATATTGTGAAATATTACTGCCATTTAAAATGGTTTACATTTTGAAATGCAATTTATTAAATTACTTTCAGCATCATTACTCCATGTCTTCAGGGTCACATGATCTTTCAGAAATCAGAATGTGCTGATTTACGTAAGCGTATTGCATTCACTTGAGGAAACAAAATCTACTCTGTTTTTTCTGAATTAACGAGTGAATTATCTCAGAATTATGAGATAATTTTCCATGGAAAATGTTTTGCTCTTTTTCTTAATTAACGAGTTAATTATCTCATAATTATGAGAACATTTTTCATGGAAAAAAGTTTTTGCTCTGTTTTTCTGAATGAACGAGTTAATTATCTCACAATTACAAAATAATTTTCCATGGAAAAAAAGTTTTTGCTCTGTTTTTCTGAATTAACGAGTTAATTATCTCAGAATTACAAAATTATATTTCATGGAAAAAAAGTTTTTGCTCTGTTTTTCTGAATTAACGAGTTAATTATCTCAGAATTACAAAATAATTTTTCATGGAAAAAGTTTTTGCTCTGTTTTTCTGAATTAACGAGTTAATTATCTCAGAATTACAAAATACTATTTCATGGAAAAAAAGTTTTTGCTCTGTTTTTCTGAATTAACGAGTTAATTATCTCAGAATTACAAAATTATATTTCATAGAAAAAAAGTTTTTGCTCTGTTTTTCTGAATTAACGAGTTAATTATCTCAGAATTACAAAATAATTTTTCATGGAAAAAGTTTTTGCTCTGTTTTTCTGAATTAACGAGTTAATTATCTCAGAATTACAAAATAATATTTCATGGAAAAAAAGTTTTTGCTCTGTTTTTCTGAATTAACGAGTTAATTATCTCAGAATTACAAAATTATATTTCATGGAAAAAAAGTTTTTGCTCTGTTTTTCTGAATTAAAGAGTTAATTATCTCAGAATTACAAAATAATTTTTCATGGAAAAAGTTTTTGCTCTGTTTTTCTGAATTAACGAGTTAATTATCTCAGAATTACAAAATTATATTTCATGGAAAAAAAGTTTTTGCTCTGTTTTTCTGAATTAACGAGTTAATTATCTCAGAATTACAAAATTATATTTCATGGAAAAAAAGTTTTTGCTCTGTTTTTCTGAATTAAAGAGTTAATTATCTCAGAATTACAAAATAATTTTTCATGGAAAAAGTTTTTGCTCTGTTTTTCTGAATTAACGAGTTAATTATCTCAGAATTACAAAATTATATTTCATGGAAAAAAAGTTTTTGCTCTGTTTTTCTGAATTAACGAGTTAATTATCTCAGAATTACAAAAAATAATATTTCATGGAAAAAAAGTTTTTGCTCTGTTTTTCTGAATTAAAGAGTTAATTATCTCAGAATTACAAAATAATTTTTCATGGAAAAAGTTTTTGCTCTGTTTTTCTGAATTAACGAGTTAATTATCTCAGAATTATGAGATAACTTTTCATGGAAAAAAGTTTTCAATTTTCTGAATTTATGAGTTTTTGAGATAATCAAGTCATTAATTCAAAAAAGCAAACATTTTTTCCATGAAAAATGATCTTATTAGTTAAAAAATTAATTCAAATTATCTGAGATAATTCAGAAAAACAGAGTAGATTTATTTTCTCCAAGTGAATGCAATACGCTTCCGTACTGATTTGCTTCTCAACATTTATTTTTATCAACGTTGAAAACAGTTGTGCTGCTTAATATTTTGGTGGAAACTGAATCTTTGATGAATATAAAGTCTGAAAGAACAGCATTTATTTTAAAAACAAATCTTTTGTCACTTCTGATACATGTAAAATCAATCAAACATCTTACCGAACCTAAACTTTTGAACGGTAGTGTGCACGCACATAAAATGAAGAAAAGAATGTTCAAACAGTCCTAAAAGACGTATTAATGTCTCTCTGTGTGTGAATATATTTGTATAGCCGAGCCAAAAGCTCAAGCGTTTGACAGGCAGTTAGAGATTGAGTATATTTCATGTTTATGAAACACACAGTCACGGACCCCCAGGATTTTGTGCTGGCAGCGTGAGCATGTCGGAGCGAAGAACTCTTCGTAGCAGTGTTGGCAGTAGACAGAGCCCTGTTCCTCCACAAACCCCAGCTCGCTCAGAGACACGCTGCAGTGAGCGCATGTGAACTCCTCCGGGTGCCACGATTTACCCATCGCCATCAGGAACGGCCCCCTGAAACACAGCATAAAACACACACTCACATCAAACAGAAATACAGATTTGTATGGTAGCTTGTTTCCGCCAATAAATAAAAAATAAAAAATAAATAATTGCGACTTTTTATCTTACAATTGCGAGAATTGAAGTCAGAATTGTGAGAAATAAAAGTCGCAATATCGAGATGTAAAGTCGCAATTCTAAGAAATAAAGTCGCAATTGCGAGATATAAAGTCACAATTATGAGAAATAACGTTGCAATTGCGAGATGTAAACTCACAATTCTAAGAAATTAAGTCGCAATTGCGAGAAATAAAGTCACAATTATGAGAAATAAAGTCGCAATTGCGAGATATAAAGTCACAATTATGAGAAATAAAGTCGCAATTGCGAGATGTAAACTCACAATTCTAAGAAATAAAGTCGCAATTGCGAGATATAAAGTCACAATTATGAGAAATAAAGTAGCAACTGCGAGAAATAAAGTCGCCACAATTCTAACTTTTTTTCTCACAATTGTGAGTTTACATCTTGCAATTCTGACTTTATAGCACATAGTTGCGAGTTTATATCTCGAAATTCTGACAACCTTTCTCAGAATTGTGAGATAAAAACTCGCAATTGCGAGTTATCAGGCCAATTCTAAGGGGCCTGATAACTCTTTTGATAACAATTTTCCCCACAGAATAATTTATATCTCGCATTTCTGACTTTATAACACACAATTGCGAATTTATATCAATCAATTCGGACTTTATATCTCACAATTCTCCCTTTTTTTTCTCACAATTGTGACTTTATATCACACAATTCTGACTATATCTCCCAATTCGGACTTTGTATCTCACAATTCTAACTTTTTTTACTCACAATTGTGACTTTATATCATGCAATTCGGACTTTATGTCTCACAATTCTGGCTTTATAACACGCAATTGCGACTTTATATCAATCAATAAAGTCCGAATTGCGAGATGTAAACTCGCAATTGTGAGAAAAAAAGTCAGAATTGTGAGATAAAGTCGCAATACCTTTTGTTTTTTGCATTATGTGGCGGAAACAAGCTTCCATACATTTGTGCTATTGTACAGTGGGTGAATATTATGTTGTGACATAGCCTAATTTTTGGACCAATTTGCAATTATTCCAATTATTCTGGTAAAGGAAACCTAGATGTTAAGAGACTAATAAGCCACCAATCACAGTCTGTTTTGCTTATACAATATTTATTTTGTAAATTCCCCATAGAAGGTACGCTTTGCTGGATTAGCCCTTTACCTTCAAAGCACTTCAGTGGACATGAAATTATGCTGATTTTTTTTTTTTTTTTTTTTTTACATCTATTAGAGACACACACACACACACATATATACAGTTTATATATATATATATATATATATATATATATACACATAACACATTATACATAACATATACATAACAGTACACTCATATCTCAAATACACTCATAAATAAGTTGTATTTATATGTAAGACCAACTTGAGCTGAATACAACATTATACGTAAACACACTATAGCAAATCTCAATACTCGCTTATATCATCACAAAATGTAAACTATGTTATTGCCCAGCTCTAATCTGCATAATGTGATAAGTGAAGATATTAACATAATATAAACATTAGCATCATGATTTTCAGTAAATCTGCTTTGAAACAGTGTGTATTGTGAAAACTGCTAAACAAATATGCCAATATATAATTGGATTATTTCTGGCACGTAAATTACACACTTCCCCTTTAATCACTAACGGCTTCGGAAAAAATCTGAATATCAGAGGTAATTTAGTGTGCTAGTGAAACTGAGAATCTGTGTGTGTGTGTTTCAGTCTGGTGTAATGCTTACTCTCATGTGGAATAAATATTCAGGGTTTAATTTGCTAAATGAAGGCTCTGTGAGAAGAGACTGATCCTAATTACTAATAACCACACACACACAGGTAACAAAGTCTACACTTTCCCATCTCTTTTGCCGCCGTGAGTGTGTGGTATCTGGTGTGTGTTACACAGGTGTGTGTTTCTTGTTAGATAAGGTGGTCTGTGAAAGTAAGAGGTGAGTTTAGAGTGACTATTGTTATTAAATATCGCTCTTAAGCTAATCATCTCATTTTCAAAGTGAAAGAGAGGAAAGATGGAGAAACAGAAGCTCCAGTTCAAAACTTTTTATCAAGAACTATTTATCTATGAAGGAAATGAATGGGATTTAAACTTCTGAAACTCAAGTGTTGCTCCATTGGTTTTAGAGTTACTTACAGTAGTGTGTTGCTGAGCTAATAACACAATACTTTAATAAGCACACGCATATTTAGCCCACAAAATAGTGGAAGAAACAGTCCATTTAGGTTTATATGATTTTTATCTATAGATTGTTAGGTAGTTAGATAATTAATTAATTAATTATATTAATATATTTTATTAATAAGAATTAGTCTACGTCTAAATTATTTTTTATCATAAATACTTAAGGAATAATAAATTATAAATAAGGAATTAATTATATATATATATATAAAACATAAAATACCTAATTTTGGACATATTCTGACTCCGCATATTAAAAAGCAAAGCAAAAATGGACTATTTCATTGAATACTTGTTTGCATACCTGATCACCATGTCGCAGTGAGCACACATTGGAGTGCGTGTGCCGGCAGGGATGTGTTCTGCCATCTGGACCAATGAGGCTTCGTCTTTTGGGTGTGGGCGGGGCATCGGGCGGTCTAAGGCGGGGCCTAAAGGTGTGTTGTTGCTCACGACACCAAAAGTGGGAGTAATGAGACCTAGCAAAAGACACAAACCCCAAAACACAAACACTTGTTAGAGCTTTAGCTTGTCTTAACGTGCGTCGGCTACCTAAGACCTGCAGCTTAAATATATCTGAAGTATTATTACTTAATCCTAACCTTTAAACAGAAACAAAACGTCAATTTGTCTTCTAGTGTAATAATGGCAGTTAACGTCATCATGAAATCAAAACTGACAACTCTTATTTTTTATGGAACATTGCAGTATTTATCATTATTTGATTTATTTGTGCACATAATTATTTGTTTTACCCTGATAATACTATATAGCAGTGATATCTCTTCTCTTTTCTAATGATGTGTTTACTGGTGTGAGGGCGGAGCAACCTGTCAATCACATGAGATCCACCAATAGCAAACCACAACCATCCAATCAATTCCCCATAACAATATCTTTTTTGTTTTGACAATATCAAACAAAAAAGCCATTTCACTTTGATATTTATATATCACATATCTAGTTATATCACATATCTCGCATTTTTGCTTTATATTCATGTGCAGCATTATATACGCAAGACACTGTGGTCAGTATCCGGACAGAGAGAGGTAGTGCTGATTACCTGCTGTGTTTCTGACAGGCGTTCCTGGGGCTTTGGTCATGGTCTTAACAGGACAGGTGACATGAGTGTTGGGCTGAGGATCATCCAGCTCCTCGCTGAGAGAGAGACATAGAGAGAGACAGAGACATATTTATAAGAGCCAGGCAAGAAGAGTGATAGAGAAAGTCAAATTCCGAAACTACCTACAAACCGATTATGTACAGTACTTTATGAAACCAGTAGAAATGTGCCAGATTTTGCGTTAAAATCAAACAAAATTTGTTTTATTTTAAATTATGTATTAGTATATATGTATTTTTGTATATAGATTGGGGTTATTTAAGAGTCTTCTGCTGCATTTATGTAATCAAAAACAAAGTAAAAATACAAGTAATACAGTGAAATGTTATTACAATTTAAAATAAAAAATTCGTATTGTAATATATTTCAAAATGTAATTTATATAGCATCATTACTGCAGTCTTCAGTGTCACATGATCCTTCAGAAATCATTCTAATATGCTGATTTGCTGCTCAAGAAACATCTCTGATTATGAGTGTTAAAAATGTTGTGCTGCTTCATATTTTTGTAGAAAAAACAACAACAACATGATCCGGTATTTTTTTCCCCGGTATTCTTTGATGAATAAAAATGTCAAAAGAACAGCATTTATTTGAAATAGAAATCTTGTAACATTATACATTTCTTTACAGTGACTTTTGATCAATTTTAATGCATGCTTGCAGAAAAAAAAACTACTTAAAAAAAACTTTTGAATGGTAGTACTACTACTTAAATTTAGGGATCGACCGAAATGGATGTTTTAGTGCCGATACGATACCGATTTTTTTCCCCATCAGCCTTAGCCGATGACCGATACGGGCTGCCAATTTTCTGAGCCGATACATTTTGCTCGCTAAATTTACTTCATAAAAATGACATGATGTTAACAAATGTTACAGGTCTCGATTTAACAAAAGTAACATTTATTTAACTTGCGTTTATAAACAATATTTAACAAATAGTAAAAACGTGAGGAAGAACAAGAACAAGTAGATAAACAATTTTTAACAAATATTAAAAACATGAGGTTAAGCAAAACAAAAAGTTCAGTGCTGAAAATAAATATTTAAGCATAAATGAAATAATTACACTATTGCACACAGTAGCAACCAGCATAATAAAGTGCACAGTGCACACTGTACTTCATTTTAAAAGTAACTTAAAAAGTACATTTTTCTGTGCCGGGAAAAACTATCGGCAAACGCAGCAGTCGCGATAGTTCCGATACACGTAAAAAAACGCAAATATCGGCCCGATATATCAACCGGCCGATATATCGGTCGATCACGATCACTACTTAATTTCAGTATTTTAGGGTTAGGGTTAGGGTTAGGTTAGTAAACCTAACCTATATATAGGTTAGGTTTACTAACCCTAACCTATATATATATACATACATACTGTATATACATTAGGTGTGTGTGTGTGTGTTAAAAAATGCACAAATGTAAAAAAAAAAAAAAGATGTTTGTACAGTTTTAAATAATGAAAAAACATTTAGGGTTGAATAATTAAGTCAGATGACTTAGTGTTTGTGTTTAATGTGATTCTCTACACCTGTGTAAACTTGACAACTTCATACACCACACAAACGTGTAATAAAATGAATTGAGACTTCAGAAAAATGATTAAGAAAAGTGAAGAGAAAAGATCCTGCAGCATCCTGAGACTCTATATTTGATATTTTCATATATATATATATATATGTAGTATGCAGTAAGCACTCCACTGTAAACAAGGTTAAGCCACACGCAGCTCACACAGACACACACACACAGCAGATCCAGCTCATTTCTACTGTAGAGACAGACATTCGCTCATTAAATCCTCAGCAGGTCTGGCTGTGTCCAGCAGCTTATATTTAGTGAGGCACGAAGTGAATGTTGATGGACAGGGAGACAGAAGTTTGGCTCTTGTGTGGCCAACACAAACACACACACTCATACCCACACGTACTGTACCACCCTGATTCTCTGCCACACAACTGCGCTCTGTCAATCTCTCCGGCCGAATTATAAGCCCCCGGAGACTGAGTGTTATGGCAACCGCAGCCATAGAAACCCAAAGGACCACCGTTCAACCATGAATCTGGATCCTGACGAAATATTCAACACGCAGCTTCATCAAAACACAGAAAAGACGTCCGTACAGTTTTAAGTCAGATGACTTTATGTTTGTTTGTGGTTAATGTGATTCTCTACACCTGTGTGAACTTGACAACTTCATACACCACACAAATGTGCATTCAAACGCATTCTGAGACTTCAGAAAAATGACTCTTCATTTGATATTTTGTTATATTATATTATATTTTATATTGAGGTCAAGGAATGACACTTTGGAAAAAAGAAAAAGAAAACGGAAAAAAAAAACCCTCAATATTTTAGGTGAACCACTTAATAAAGCTACTAGCAAATGCTAAATAAAGTATTTAATAATAATACATATTTACACTTTTAATGAATGAATTAACATAAATGAGTTATGTTATTTTATTGGTGTATTTAACTGCATTGATAAACATTACTTAAAATCATTTAATCATGTAAAGTCCTCATTAAATCAAAATGTACAATTCTTTTCTTATTATTTACGATTTATCCATACATATAAACTTTAAAAAAAAAAAAAATTCTTAATCTTTAATCAAAATGAATGAATGAGTTATTTTATAGGTGTATTTAACTGCATTGATAAACATTACTTAAAATCAATAATTTAATCATGTAAAGTCCTCATGAAATCAAAATGTACAATTCTTATTATCTATGATTAATCCATACACATAGACCTTTAATTTTATTGGTGTATTTGACTGCATTGATAAACATTACTTAAAATCAATAATTTAATCATGTAAAGTCCTCATGAAATCAAAATGTACAAATCTTATTATTTATGATTTATCCATGCATATAAACTTTATTTTTAAATTAATTTAAATTCTTAATCTTTAATCAAAATGACTTCCTCTCTCTATAGCAGTGTCGCCTCTTCTCTTCTCTGATGATGCGTTTACTGGTGTGAGGGCGGGGCAACCTGTCAATCACAGAGATCCACCAATAGCAAACAACAACTCCCAACCACAATTCCCCACGACAATATCAAGTCCCGCCCTACATTTTTTCTCATTTACATTTACTCAGATATACATATATATATTTAGATGTCTATTCATGTTTCAATTTGAAATTCTATTTGACATTTACTTTAATTTTTACATTTTCATTCATTTAAAACACCAAACAAACATGTCCTGTTACAGTAATCTGCTGATCTCAGATAGTAATCCATGTACTTAATCTATATAATGTATTTTTTTCTAACATGTGGAAAGTAACATGGATAGAAGGGTGGTAAATCAACACTTTTGGTACTTTATTATTAATAAAATTGGTAATCCTTCATATACAGTATGAAATGCGAGACAGACCAATCCTAGCAGAAAAAAAGTGTTAGAGGAAGAAGGAAAAGATAACTCATGGTGAGAGCAAGGTATAGGAGCACACAAACACACGGGAACGACAGAAAACAGACACATCTTCACATGTCCCGTCTCCCCAGATATAAGACCGATCGTTACGGCTCTCAGCCAATCAGATTCATTACACAGCAAATAATCCAATCAGACTGGAGCAGCACAGCAAGCTAATCGAATGAGAGAGGAGCGATAACAAAACACACAGGAAGTTTTCCATCACAAACACATCCATGAGCAAAGGACGGGATGAAATCTGTCTTACTGTAAACATGATAATCTGAGCTCATTTATCACACATATACACTACCGTTCAAAGGTTTGGGCTTGGTAAGATTTTTTATGTTTTTGAAAGAAATCTCTTATGCTCACCAATGACATTGTGAAATATTATTACAAATTTACAATGAATTACAAAGTATAGTCCCAGTCCTTGATTCTGATTGGTTGAAACTCGCTCAAAGCCGTTGTAAATGACTACAAAGACCTCATGATGTCAGTATTACTGATCCACTGTTTCTGTGTGTTTAAATAAATATTTTCATGAACTAACCATTATACAAAAGCAAAAAGCAATATAATACAAAACCATTATAAAAAAGCAGACCGAAGCGCCCGCGCCCTCAGATCACTTGGACGTGGCTGTGATTACAAGAGGTAAAAACGATATAAATACTGTTAGTTTTCTCACACAAACCGCTCGTTTCGTGTCTTAGGCCATCAATGTGTACTTACATTTACGAGTCATTAAATCATGTTTAATTTGGACTTTTCTGTGCATGCTCTTTGAGGTGGTGACCATAGACCTCCATTATATGACTGATGGACACAAAAAGGTTTGACCTAAAAATATCAAAATTGAAACTACTGTGGAAACAAAGACACCTACATCTTGGATGCCCTTGAGGTAAGATAAAACATACCAAAAAATAATTTCAAAGTGAACTAGCCCTTTAATCTTAACAATAACATACATTAATAAATGGAGTTTACATTCTGCATGGTTTTAATAATGTTTTTGTATTAAAACTGGAAATGTATTTTTGCATTTCTCTGAAAATGTATGCTTATATGCAAATGAGGAATTATCTAATTCAATATGAACTAATTTTCATACATTTCCAGAACAGAAATTTGAACATTGGACATAGCCAGGTTCAAAATTCGTGTTTCATTTTGTTGACAGCATACAGAGGAGATTTTGGAGATCTCTTTTTATAACTCTATAGTCCATAAATCAGAACAGAAACAAGCAGAAAAAAAGGCATTTTTGATTTATGATACAGTATATGAACAACCAGTTTGTAAAAGTCTTCAGAATATAGAAAGGAAAATTGTTTTCATGTCACACGATTTTCGAAACCTCTCAGTCAAAGTGCAAAACTACATGCCAAATCTAAGCTATTTCTCAGCCCTTGACTCAGTTTTCAATTTCAACAGGCAGAAAAAAAAACATTTTTGATATATGATATATGAACAAACCCTTTGAAAAGTCTTCAGTAAAATAAGTGCTGTTGAAGTAGAGATTTCTGCCTTTTTTTGGTCCTGAGACTTCCACAGAAGATATATGTAAA